CTTTGATTCCCAAACCAGGGAATGACCCAACCAAAAAAGAGAACTACAGGCCAATTTCCTTAATGAACAGAGATGCAAAAATCCTCAATAACATATTGGCAAGCAGAATACAGAGGGTCATCCAGAAGATCATATAATGTTATAATGTACAATGTGAAATAGGAAGAAAGGGGCTAAAGGTGTAGGGAAAGTGGGAAGGGTAGGGGAAAGCTAAAAAAGGAAAAGAAAAAAATATGAGAAAATGAAAAAATGGAAATGAAGTGGTTGTAAATGGGGAGGGCAGGAGGAGTGAAGGGAGGGCAGAGACAAGTGGGAAAAAAGGAGAACCAAGACCTGTCATGTAAAGATACAAGATGCCAGTAATGAATGTAACTGTACTGTATACCTAAAATGTACCAAGAAACTCAATGAGGAAATAAATAAATAAATAAATAAATAAAGATGGTCACACACCCTGGCCAAGTTGGATTTAACCCAGGAATGTAAGGATGGTTCAACATATGTAAATCAATAAATGCCACACATTACATTAAAAGAGCCAAAGACAAAAACTATATGATCATCTCAATAGATGCAGAAAAAGCATTTGACAAAATTCAACATCCATTCATGATTAAAAAGAAAAAACACAGAAAATTGGAATAGATGGTCTTTACCTCAACTTGATGAAGGCTATCTATGAAAAAATAAGAGCCAATCACATACTAAATGATAAAAAAACTGAAAACCTTCACACTAAAATCAGGAACAAAACAAGGATGTCCACTATCACCACTCCCATTCAATATAGTTATGGAAAGATGAGCCACAGCAATTAGACAAGAGAAAGAAATAAAAGCAATAAAGATAGGAAAGGAAGAAGTTAAGCTGTCATTATTTGCTAATGATATGATATAGAAGACCCAAAAAACTCTGCCAACAGACTTCTAGACTTAACTGACAATTTCAGCAGAGTAGCTGGATACAAGGTCTACACTCAAAACTCAATAGTCTTCTTGTACACAAATAACAGACTCACTGAGAGAGAAATCAGGGAAACAATCCCTTTCACAGTAGCATCCAAAAAAATGAAATATCTAGGAATCAATCTAAGAAAGAAAGCAAAAGACCTCTATATTAGAACTACAATATTTTGAAAAAAGAGATTGAAGTGGATATAAGAAAATTGAAAGATAATCCCTTGTTCCAATATAGTGAAAATGGTCATACTTCCAAAACTGCTATACAGATTCAATGCAATCCTGATAGAAATCCCAACAGTATATTTCACAAAACTAAAGAAAAGAAATACAAAAAATGCATGTGGAACCAGAAGAGACCTACAATAGCAAAAGCCATTCTAGGCAACAGAGACATGGCAGGGGGTATCACAATCGCCAATTTGAAACTATACTACAAAGCCACTGTGTTAAAAATAGCATGGTACTGGCAAAGAAACAGACCCAAGGATTAATGGAATAGATTAGAAGATGCAAAAACAACCTCAGACATACTCAGCTACCTCATCTTTGATAAAGGAGCCAACCATCCTCACTGGAGGAAAGATAGCCTCCTTAATAGATGGTGTTAGAAAGGCTTGATTTCAACCTATCAAAGATTAAAACTGTCTTTCACCATGCACTAAGTTAAAATCAAAGTGGATTACAGATCTAAATATTAAAACAAAAACACTAAACTTGTTAAAATATAAGTTAGGTAGAACTCTTGAAGACATTGGCATAGGAAAAGACTTTATGAACAAATCCTCAGTAGCACGGGAACTAGCATAAAGAATCAACAACCAGGATATCATCTTTTTGAAAAGCTTCTGCACTGCAATAGAAACCAAGAGAGCTAAGAGCCAACCTACAATTTAGGAAAAAAATTTTACCAGATGCTCCTCAGAAAAAGGTCTACTATCTAGAATATATAAGGAACTCAAAAAAATCAAGCCCCCCAAATATAAAGATCCAATTCAAAAATGGGCATCTGAAAGGAACAGACATTTCTCAGACAAAGAAGTAAAAACAGCAAATAAATACATGAAAAAATGTTCCACATCACTGGTCATTTGAGAGATCAGATGAAAACAACACTGAGATTCCACCTCACCCCAAAAAGAATGGCTGCTATCAAGAAATCAACCAATAACAAACGCTGGTGGGGGTGTGAGGGGAAAGGAACCTTTCTCCATTGTTGGTGGGAGTGCAGAGTGGTGCTACCACTATGGAAATCAATATGGAGATACCTTAAACAACTAGGCTTGGAAGTTCCATTTGACCCAGTTATTCCCCTGTTGGGCATCCCCAAAAGAATTAAAAGAATCATACCACAGTGATATATGCTCACCCATGTTTATAGCAGCACAGTTTGTAATAGCTAAAACTTGGAAACAGCCAATGGCCCATCAACTAGAGACTGGAAAAGAAGATGTCATTTTTTTATAAAATGGAGTACTACTCAGCCATAAAGAATTCGACAATAGAGACATTTATAGCTAAGTGGATGCACATTAAGAACATACTCTTAAGTGAAATTAACAGGACATTCATGGGCAAATATCATATAGTTTCTCTGGTGTGATAAACTAAATGTTTAAACAAGCGTCAAAATGTATAACTGATATTTTGTAACAGGAAGAAAAGGTCTACAGGTATTGGGCAAATGGGAGGGGTAGGAGAAAAGTAAAAGGGAAGAGAAAAAATAAGAGAAAAGGAAAAAATTGAAACAAAAATCTTTGTAAATGGTGGGGGGAGAAGGGAGGGCAGGGGAATGGGGAAAAATAAGAACCAAGATCTGTCATGTAAAGGTACAAGATCCCAGTGAGGAATGTAACTATACTGTATATCTAGAATGTGCTAATAAAACATATTTTTAAAAGAAAAGTGATGGAAGCACGGGGCTTAGGAGGGCATCTGGTCAGAAGATACAGGTTGCTGGGAGCATGACCTGGAAGGGCACATCCCTCTCCCTGGGTCCTGCCTTTTCTCTGTGCTTCCCGTTACCATGATGAGAGCGGTTGTCCCCCTCCTGGCCCTTCCTTACAGCCTTTTCTATGTTTAAATCTCCCAACCATGAACTAAAACTTCTGAAACTGTGAGTCCAGATAAACCTCTGCTCATTTAAATTGCAGGTGTCAAGCATTGCGTCCAGCCATGAGGAAAGTGAAAAAGATTCTGTGTGTAGAAATTAATACACAATTATGTAACACCATAATAGACACACCTATGATGGATAGAGAAATCCACTGAAATGTTGGGCAATGATTTCTAAACCATGCCCTTCATAAAGAAATTCAACAAAATAGCCCAAAGAATATCCTTTTGTGGCCTTACCCTTCTGAATCTATCTCTCACACAAACCTATAATGTTGTTTATTTACCACCTATAACTCACGGTAGGAATGAAGGAACACAATGCCCACTTTTGTGCTCCGTGGTGTTCTTCATTTCCCAGCACTGGGTGTTGAACCCAAGGCTTTGTGCATGCTAGACAAGTGCTTAGCACTGAGCTAACCCCAGCTCTTCGTGAGTCTTTTCATTAACAGCATTTAGGAATTTGTAAATCTAAGTTAACATATCTAAAGTCTTTAGAATGGTGCTTTTACCATAGTAACTGCCAAATCAGTGTCCCCCCATATGGAGGCTATCACAAGACACATCCCAGCATTCCAGAGTCTGAACCAATTGGACCTGAGGTGCACACAAGAAAACAATGTGGTTCTGGATGGGGTCCCAGAGGAGCCTGTTCCGACAGACAGGCTCCCTGCAGAAGAGGTCACCACCTCTGCTTGTCCCCTGCAGGCAGGGCTGTCACCTTTCCTGGTCCTTGTGTGACATCTGGAGAAAGTGCTGCCAGTAGAGGCCATCCATGCTCCCCTAAGTGAAGTGATACCTCCCTCCCTCCCTCTGATTGTGCCAAGACTAAACAATGCGTGGAAAAAAAAAATAAAGGCTTCTTAGTGGGTTTTGCCTCAGCCACATTCAGAAAACAGATCAAAACAAACTCCTGAACTTTAATTTGGTTCCATGGTAGCAAAACTGAATTCACCCAAATAGAAAAGGCTGTGCTGAGTCAGCACCCCGAAGCTGGCTGGGCTTGGGACCAGGTCACGAGTATTTCTGAAAGGTAACGGGGCAGTCCCTTGCATGTGGCTCCTGTCCCAAACCTCTCCACCCCAGCCCGTAATTGGAGCGGAACTCACGGGGGATGAAATTAGGAAGCTCATCGGCGCAAGGGCATCTCCGGATGAGCCCAGAGAATCTCTGCTCTCCCTTATGAGCAGTTTGCTGTTCAGACCATTTGGTCTCAGGGCCTCCTTCATGTGCCCTGTTCGGGCCACCTTCAGCTCCACTTCCTGCTGTTGGTGCTTGAAGTCTATCACCTTTCCGGGCCATGGTGCCCAGCACACACCTGCCAGACTCTAAGGCCCAGGGGCAGGATTTGGGCAAGGGCATGAGCTCTTTGAATATGTAGTTATTTGGGTGTCTGAGGAATTCGGGAGAGCTTGTGACTGCACTTAGGAGGGAGGCTGGTGACTTAAGTAACATAGGTCTTTCCAGAACAAATAGTGGAAAGTGGATTTAAATTCATGCCCACCTCCCCCGGAGCTTTTCGTTCCAAATGCACATGGTCTGTGGGTCGCAGACATGAGCACACCCTGACCAGCTGAACGTGGAGAACCAGGCAGGGGAAGGAACATGATACGCCCGACCCTTCCGTCGCCCTTTCCCTGAGCGGCTTCTGTGGGGTAGGGACTGGGTCAAAACAAAGCCCAGTACTAGCACAAACAACTGTTCTTGCCCCTGACCTCTAAGCCATTTCCCAAAGCCCTGTGGCATCTGATACGTGTTCCCAAATAACTGTGCAGACACAGAGAAAAGGAGCCTGAGTCCCTGACAGCTGCAGCGTCTCCACAGCATGGCCTTTCACCGAACCTGCCGTGTAGACCATCCCAAAGGCCCTGACAAGGATATTAAAAATCCAGCAAGAAGTTCAGTAAACAGGGCACTGTTACTTACATGCTTGGCCAGGCCATTTGGGCCAACAGAGCTGCAGGGGGCTTCTGAATGACTTCAGTGTTCCAGAATAACAATCAGGCCAGCCTCGTAGAGCCCTGGGAGTGGGCTCCACGGTGAGGGCCAGAAAGACAGCCCCACTGCCAAAAGCCTAGTCAGAGGAGAGTGGAGGACACAGTGCTGCTCCCGCCAGGGATGGCAAGCAGGCTGTGGCCTCACATTGTTCTGAGCAGAGAGCCAGACTGAGTCCCCCGTGCACAGATGCAGGAGGGGCGTGATCGGGGCACAAGTTTAGGGAGGGGATTAGACACTCCTCAGGGAAGGGTGGATGACAGCTCCATGCAGCTGTCTGGAAAGTTCAGGGCTGTTGTGCCGTTCCAGAGATTTTAGGGAATTAAGATGTTTGGGGCAGGAGTTCAGATAAAACTCTTCGTCTGCCTTCCAGTTGCTTAGGTCAAAAACCTTGGCAATATTCTTGACACCTCTCCCCTTTCCGTTTTCTTTGTCTCTGCCTCTCTATATCTCTTTTTCTCCATATCCAATCTATCAGGAAGTGCTATTAGTCCTATTTTCGAAATTCATTCTAAATCTGTCCATCTCTTAGCACTTCCACTGTGATTACCCTGGTCTGAGCCACCATCCTCTCACACCGTGACTGCTGACAGAAACACTGTAGTGCAGCACAAAACTACTTGTGTATATAATTCATTTTGTATGTTTTCATTGTGCTTGTGTGTGCGTGTGCTCCCTCCACTCCCACCCCCGTCTCTCCAAGATTTGTTGCTTGGTAGATCTTGTGAGCCTAGTAGAATAAGTGGCAAAGAGTTAGTTTCCAGTTTCCATATGAATAGTTTAAATAAAGAAATGAAATAATTTAGGGTAAAAAAATCATTGAAAGGCCCCTTGGCCACTCTTGGACCATTCTCCTAGATGCATCAATTATTCATTCATAGGTCCATTTATTGAGCATCTACTCTATAATAAACACTATGCTGGGACCTAGAATACAATGATGAACAGAACACTTCAGTCCTGCCTTTGTGGAGTTTATGCCTAGGGACTAGAGACAGGTACTACTCTAGTACCAGGGACAGGAGGGAATTGTTAATATAGTTCAGGGAAAACATTATGTTTTTGGCTAGGTTGGTGGCAGAGTAGAGAGAAATTGCTATGGAGATTTAAGATGTATTTAGAAGATGGAAAACACAAGAGTTGTGATAGATTAAATGAGATTGAGGAGAATCTTATGAAAAAGGTACAGGCCAAATTTATGACTTAAGAAACTAGGTGGATAATTGCTATTGGCTGAATAAAGATCCTCCAAAACATATTTGTATCTTAATCCCTAAAACCTGTACATTTTACCTTATTTGGAAACACGGTCTTTGCAGATGTTATTAAATTGAAGGTTTTAAAGTGGGAGATTATTCTGGATTACCAAGGTAAACCTTGTGTGTAATTACATGTTCTTGTAAAACAGGGACAGGGGACAGTCAAAAGGCATATACAGAGAGAGAGAGAGAGGTGACACAAAGAGAGAGCCGTGAGATAATTAAAATATTGGCCTTGGAGATTGAGTGATACAGCCAGAGGCCAAGTTCAAAAGTTAATTTAATTTGTCCCCTTGACTAGGTCATGAGATTCCCAGATGTTCTGCCAGATACTATCCTGAGTGTGTCTGTGAGGGTGCTTCTGGGTGAGACTAACATTAGAATCAATAAACTGAGTACGGCAGATCACCGGCCCGGCTGAGGCTGAGGCTCATTCCGTTCACTGAAAACGTGAATTGAGCAAAAAGGCCAAGTGTGAAGGAATTTCTCCCCTCCGAGAGGTGGAGTTGGAGCTCCGGCTTGCTGGTCTCGAGGCTGGAGCTTACACCCACCTCTCTGAGGTCTGTACCAGGTGGACATCACATCGCGTGACTTCCCAGCCTCTGCGTGTGCATGGGCCAACTTACACAGATACACAGGCGCATAGAGGAGGAGGTGAGTCAGATACGGTCCGTTATGGCTCTGCTTCTCAGAACAACCAATTAATATATCAAGAAATGCTAGGAAGCCACCAGGAGCAGAGACAGGACCTGTGGCAGGCGGGGTGAAGGGTCAGCTTTGAAATCACCCCGGGACTGGCGCACTTTTGAGTACATCTGGGTGGGGCCTCTGTCTGGTCCCTCCCCCTTCCTCCATACTGCTGCTCCTGCTCTGCTTCCCAGCAGCAGCTGCCGGGAACAGAAAAGCTTTGCTGTGCCACGCCCTCCTGCCTTGAAGTTCCGGTCTTGGAGCCACATGCCAGGGACTGAATCCTCTGAACTGTGAGCTGAATTGAACCTGTCCTCCTTTAAGCTGTGGGTGTCAGGTATCGTGTGCCAGCAATGGGAAAGTGGTAGATGATATAATCCCTAGACATAATCCCTAGAATCCTCCAGAGGGACTGAAGCTCTGACAACAACTTGATTTCAACTCAGTGGGGCTGACTTTGGATTTCTGGCCTGCAGGACTGTGAGAAAATGAATGCGCATCATGTTAGTGTTAAGCCTATCAATTTGCAGTGGTTTGTTACAGAGGTGACAGGAAAGTAACTCAAAGGGAACTGCTGTAAGAGTGGTGTGTATGGGTAGTGGGAGATATCCAGATTCCTTCTGGAACATGAAATCTGAGGTGCCTGTCTCGCACCAACTGGAGAATTTGCGAAATACCTAAAGAAAGCAGATAGTTGTGTTGACACCGGATCCAGAGCGGCTTCTTCATTATTTTCAAATGGAAAAGTTTAGGGCATTGAGTGTGATTTGGAAGATGATTCGGTAACCAGAATGGTTAAGAAGGCCGTAATGAGGAGGATCCAGAGAGCGAGGTCACAATCCTGATTGTAGTTAAGATTCCCGAGGACACTGAGAAACTCCCAGGGCCCAGTCTGCAAGCAGTACCAACGACTTCAGAGTTTCTGTCTTGGGAACTGGGTGTCAGGCACTGCTGGGATCTTGTTGCAGGTTAACTGTAGAGCTAGATCCAGGAGATTCCAAGCATACCTGGGAAGCGTGGCCCAGGAAGAGCCAGAACAGGTGAAGGCCCAGGTGTAGGAGGTTTGGTGGATGTAAAGTGGGGGCTTCGCAGCTTCAACGTTCTATTTCCAAAGCCCAAGGCAAGGTTACGCATACTGAGCAGGTGCTACTCTGTAACAGAAGAAAGGAGAAACTGGGGGCTTCAGAAAAGGAAGAAAAGATAACATAGTTCATGCTGGGTGGAAAAGGGAAATCACCCCGTCCGGGGAAGTTTGGTTAAGGGCGTCAGAAAGGACTTGAACTTACAGCTATCTCCTCCATCCATTCCTTCCGCTGATAATCATCAGACAGGCACCAAACAGGCCATGAGAAGACATGGTCCTCAACCTCACAGATTTCACAGCTCTGTGGGGGCGAGGAGACATAAAAGCAAACAGAGGCCTCAGAAGCTGCAACACCATCAAAAGAGGGAGTGGGCGCTAGCGTCTGCGAGGACAGAGTCCTCTCTCTTTGCACATGGAGCGCTTCTGAGGTACGTTCGTTGTTCTCCGAGCACCTTCCGGGAGGGCGGAAATGGCAACTCTGCTTCTATTCCCAGGCAGAACTAAAGTATCCCTAAAATAGCGTTGCCACTCCAGGGTTGCAGAGCCACACGGGGTCTCCAGCAGAGGAAGACCCTCCAGCCAGGAAAAGATCCCCGGTGGAAGGGGGAAATTTCTGAGTCCTCTGGCAGGGCCAGTAGCAACGCTGATGCTAACGGTGATTTTCACACGCTCAACTCCATGCGACGTTCAGAAAACGGCCACTAGGTGGCAGGGTTAACATTTGCAAAGTGCCTGCCTGCGGCGGCAGAAGCCAAAATCCCTAACTCGCAGCCGGGCTGCAGATCCCTGTGCCAGCGTGCCCACAGGAGAACAGCGGGCACGGGATGGTTTTAGGTGCTATCTAAGCTGAACTCGCTAGTGCACAGTTACTCGGTTTCGTGCCTCTACCCTGTAGACCCGCGCTGTCCAACGCACCCCCAGCCGCGTGTCTCCGGAGCAGTCGAATTCAGCCAGCCCAGGGAAACCAATCTTTCACTTTTATTTCATTTTAATTCGTCTCATATAAAAATTGTTGAATATCCCTGAATAATTCTGGTTTGTCAATCCGTTTTTTGCCATTCTAAAATTGTATGGAATCTACTCTAGATCAAGTATTTCCAGTGAAAATGCTGAGATGATGCTGAAAATGTAAAATACACCCTGGGTTTTGAACACATGGTCTGAGAGTCAGAACGTAAATATCTCAATAATATCTTACATTGGTTATACTTATTTTATATTAATTTAAATCATATTTTGGTAGGTTGTGTTAAAATGTATTCTCTAAATTAATAAATTTTTTCATCTTTTTTTTAATCCCATGTCATTTATTGGAAAAACACACACACACACAAACGGGAACTGCTCTGGGAACGCAGCGTGGGGCTTCAAGCACTCCATCTCACCTCCTCCCCAAGGCGCTGCTGGTTTCCTCCCAGCCCAGGGTCTCAGGCATGTCCCCCAGCTTCCCTCCAGCCCACTGTCAGCTTAGGAGCTTTGTCCCTCCAAGCCAGCCAGGTGTCCTTCTCTGCCTTCAAACAACGACCTCCTCGTATTTTGTCTCTCTTCCCCCTTCTCTGCCTCTCCCTCCCCTGTGCCTCCTCTCCCCACCTCCTCCCTGACCAGAGTCCCTCCCTGTGGCTTGGTCCTGTCCCCTCTGCCCAACCCTGCTGGCCCTCAGCTTCACGCACTCTGAGGCCACTGCCTGTAAATTCTCCAGAGCTGTCTACTATTCAGGATTTAAAAAAGAAAGTGGCGAAGGAGAAGGAAAGGAAAGAGGAAAAGAAAAAGGAGAAAAAAAAAGGAAAACTCAAAAAAACGCAAAATGCAGAGGGAGGAAGCATGGCAGAATTTTTTTTTCTGGTGATGCTGCCCCCTTGAACATGTTGAATGTGGGTTACTAGAAAACTCCCGGGGATATCTGCGACCCTCATAGGTTTCTGCAGAGCAGTGCTGTTTCTGAGAAACTTAGGGTAGCACAGACAGGAACTCAAGCGTAGTGAGACAGTGGGAGAGTGGGCCAGTGTGGCACAAGAGAAAGGCCAGGCAGTGAGTCTGAGGAGAGCAGAGACAGGGACGTGCTCCCCACACGCACCGGGATTGACCCCAAGGCCTGCTCACTGAGGTATACCTTCAGCC